GATTGTTGTGAAGACAAATGAGATAAAGTAAGGAAAGCACTTAACACAAACTAGTTATTATTAATTATTACATAGACAGAAGTAATGAGGGTGACTGCCAAATCCATCAGTGTAACCATAAGAATTTTACCAACCCTAATGTGCATCCATACCTGGCTTACTCCTGATTGATATATTCCAAGGAGCCCGAAGTCTGCTTACCTTATTTGCTGTGATATTTGCTAAGATGTATTTGCCAAGAGCTCCATTTTCTTCTACTAAGTCCTTCTGTTCAACAAGCATTTATTTTTCCTGTTTTTTTTTTTTTTGGCTAGGCAATGGGGTTAAGTGACTTGCCCAGGGTCACACAGCTAGTAAATGTTATGTGTCTGAGGCTGGATTTGAACTTAGGTCCTCCTGAATCCAGGTCTGGTGCTCCACCTAGCTGCCCCCGATGTTTTTAATTAATTAATTAATTTTTGTTTTCATCATTCACTTTTATAAGATTTTGAGTTTCAAATTTTTTCTCCTCCCTCCCCTTCCCCCTCCCCAAAATGGCAAGCAATCTGATATAGGCTATACATGTACAATCATATTAAACATATTTCCACATTAGTCATGTTGTGAAAGAAGAATCAGAACAAAAGAGAAAAATCATGAGAAAATAGTATGCTTGGATCTGCATTCAGACTCCATAGTTCTTTCTTTGGATGTGGATAGCATTTTCCATTATGAGTCTTTTGGGATTGTCTTAGATCATTGTATTGCTAAGAAGAGCTGAGTCTATCACAGTTGGTTATTGCATAATGTTGCTGTTACACAATGTTCTCCTGATTCTGCTCACTTCACTCAGCATCAGTTCATACAAGTCTTTCCAGGTTTTTCTGAAATCTGCCTACTCATCATTTCTTATAGCACAATAGTATTCCATTACATTCATATACCACAACTTGTTCAGCCATTCCCCACTTGATGGGCATCCCCTCAATTTCTAATTCTTTGCCACCACGAAAAGATCTGCTATAAATATTTTTGAACATGTGGGTCTTTTTCCTTTTTTTATGATCTCTTTGGGATCCAGACCTATTAGTGGTATAGCTAGATCAAAGGGTATGCAGTTTTATAGCCCTTTAGGCATATCAACAAGCATTTATTAAGTACCTACTATGTGCCAGGCATTGTGTTAAAGGCAGAAAAAAAATCCATATTCTCAAGGAGCTCACAGTCCAATACAGGAGACAACATGTGAACAGCTATGTACAAACAAGCTAAATAAATATAGGATGAATGGAGGATAATCAACAGAGAGAGGGCAGTAATGTTGAGGGAGATCAGGGAGAGCAGGGAACAGATATGAGTGGGTTATTTGAGTAGGAAGAGCAAAAAGGTCAGTGTCATTGAATTGTGCAGTATATTGGGGTAAAGTATAAGAAGACTGGAAAGGCAGGAGTGGAGCAGGTTATGAAGTACTTTAAAAGCTAAATGGAGGATTTAATATTTGATCCTGGAGATGATAGGGAGTCATTGGAGTTTGTTGGTTGAATTGATGGCAGGGCAGGTAGGGGCAGGTGGAGGGTGGGGTGCAAACAGTGGTGATATGGTGGTGTGGTGAGATGTTCTATAGGATGATCAGTTTGGCAGCTGAATGGAGGATAGACTGGAGTGGGGAACTCTAACCAATAAGCAGGCTATTGTAATAGCCTAGGTACGAAGTGACAAGAATCTTCACCAAGGTGGAGTCGGGGTTAGGAGAGAAGGGGGCAGATATAAGAGGTGTTATAAAGGTAGAATCAACAGGAACTGGCACTAGATTAGATGTGAGGGGTGGGAGTAAGGGAAGAGTTGAGAGGGAAGACATGTAGGTTGTGAGTCTGGGTCACTGGGAGGATGGTGGTGCCCTTTACCAGAAAAGGGAAATTGGAGAGAGGAGAAGGTTTGGGAGGGAAATATAATGAGTTCAGTTTTGGACATGTTGAATTTAAGATACTTATGGGATATCCTTTTGGAGATGTCCAATAAGCAGTTAGAGATGTTAGACTGGATATCAGAAGAGAGGTTAGGACTGGATAAATAGAACTGGAAATCATCAGCATAGAGATGATAACTGAGTCCATGGATACTGATGAGATCACCAAGTAAAATGGAATAGAGGAAGAGGAGGAGAAGGCCTTGGACAGAACCTTGGGGCTCACACGTGTCTGGGACTGATATTCCTGTGTTTTCCCACTTTATCATCTTAATAAGCATGTTTGTATATAAGGATGGCTGCTAGAGATGTTTGGGTTAATGGGCAATGGAGACTGAGAAGAAGCGGTCAGTCAAGGATGAGGAGATCCAGGAGAGGTTAGTGTCAAGAAAACCTGGAAAGAAGAGACTATTAAGGAGAAAAGGATGACTGATAGTGTCAAAATCTGCAGAGAAGTCAAGAAGGTTGGGGACTGAAAAATGGCCATTAGATTTGGCAATTAAGAAATCATTAGTAACTTTAGAGTAAGCAGTTTCAGTTGAATGGTAAGGTCAGAAAGTCATACTGCAGATTCACAAAGAGAAGAGGACAGGAGGAGGAAGAGGCATGAAGTAAACATAGTTTTCTCAAGGAGTTTAGCCACAAAATGGAAGAGAAATATGGGATGATAGCTGTCAGTGATAGAGCAGTGTACGTCACATATATATATGTTCAGGAGTCACTCAGGTCAGTCTATGGTTCTAGTAGAGTGGACCAGCACCTGGTTGGACTTCATGTGTCATAGTACGTCCCAAATCTGAACAAAGGGGACCTGGGTAGCTATGACATATGTCTTCACGTGTCTTTTTTTGACAGAGAGAAATTTCAACTAGGTGGTTTCACTCCAAGAGCAGATTGTGTTTTTCTTTCTTCATCCCAGGAGTAATAAGACCATTCTTTCTCCCACTGAACTTTGAATTCCAGTTGGCATCTTTCCAGTCACTGCACATTCCCGGAGGGAGTTGATATATCCTTGGGACTGATATTCCTCTCTGTGTTTTCCCATTTTATCACCTTAATAAGCATGTTTGTATATAAGGATGGCTGCTAGAGATGTTTGCATTTTCGTAAAGTTGGCCCAAAAGAATACCTCTCCAGAGGGGTTTTAAAGCATCTTTTAACTAACATTGTAATAGCTTATATTTATATGACTCTTTGAAGTATTCTATAGATTATTTTGCTTGATCTTCACTATGGACCTGCTAGGTAGATTGTTTAAGTATTAAACTGATTTTAAGGTTGAAGAAACCAAAGGCCTATATGCTTTCTGTTGCTAGACTGCCTGTAAGACACATGATCCCAGTTAGTAGCTTTTCAAAAATCAATCATTGATCTATTTTTAAGAATTTCATCTTCACCATAGTTTTTAGGAGATTCTTGGTGATTAATGGGCAAAATAAATATTGTTCCTGCCAGATGTCAATGTTGAGCATATATTTGTATGTTCTGTAACATGGATATGAATGTTTTCATTAACATAGCAGGAGTCCTTCATTAGTGTCCATTTATATCTCCATTTCTAATCTCTAACACACTTGAAAATAATAATATCCAACTCTTTGTGACCCAATTTGGGTTTTTCTTGGCAAAGACACATTTGAGTTTTTCTTGGCAAAGATACTGGAGTGGTTTGCCATTTTCTTCTTTGGCTCATTTTGCAGATGAGGAAACTGAGGCAAACAGGGTAAAGTGACTTGCCCAGGATCAGCTAGTAGGTAAGTGTCTGAGGTTAGAGTTGAACTCAGGAAGAAGAGTCTTCCTGATTCCAGGCCCAGTGCACCACCTAGCTGCCTGCTTAAAGCACTCTATAAAAGCTCTCATTATCTGTAAATCCAAAGAGTGGAACAAAATTACCTCTAAGATCTCTTGTAGCTTTAAGTCTATGAGCCTATTTATTATTTACATTCATTGATATGATGGTTTGTAAGTATTCTCCAGTCATTTGTTGTCTATTGCTACCTTCGTAACTAACCATAAGCTCCAAGCCTCTCCACAGGTGAGATATTCCACCTAGAGATACAGTGACTGAAAAGTCAGGCCTCAGTTTAAAGGAGTGTGTGTGGAGAGATAGATGCCAAAACTGGCAGTGAGAATGGAGGATGATTGCCTCAGTCTGGAAAGGGGTGGGAGGGGAGCAGCTCCATAGCCTCTTATGGGATTCCTGATTTCTCTTTTCCAGCAACATTTAGCTAATCCAGGAAAGAACATTTATCAAGAGATGGGGCAAAGTGACATAAAATTATCTCAGAGATTGACCTTCCCCAATCCTTCCCCAGGAGCTGTGGAGGGGTGGGAATTAAGAAGAGAAGAGCAGAAGAGGAAGGAATAACAATTTACCTTCCTACATGTTTTAAAATTTACAAAGGTGAAAGAGATGCAACTATGATCCCCACTGTACTGTGGAACCAAAATGTGATTTGCCCATTAGTTATGACAACTAATAAGTGTCAGAAGATCTTAACCTGCTCGGAGAAAGGGGGGAGGGGAGTCTTTTTATTAGAGGAGGAGGGAATAGGAAGAATAGAAGGGAGAAGGGGAGAAAAGGGAGATTAAAAGATCATAAATTTAGAGGTGGGAGGGACCTTATTAACCTTAGAGGCCATCGTGTTTAACGGTTCCCCTCACCCCATCCCACCCCAAATTTACAGACGAGGAAACACCAGGGAGGTAAAGTGGCTAGGGTCTTGCCCAGGGTCACACAGCTAGTGACTAAGATGAGATTTGAACTCGGGTCTTCCAGACTGCAAATCCTGACTAGTCATTACGCCACAGGGGAAGAAAACAAAAAGTAAAAGGAGGAGACTGGAAAGAGGAATGAGCAGGGAAAAGAAAAGGTGGTGCAAAGGGAAGGAAGGGAGAGAAAGAAGAAAGAATCTAGTGGATGGGTAGGAATGAGGGGAGGAAATGAAAGGGGAGAGTGGGTGGGGAGGAGGAGGGGAGAAGTGGGGCAATAAGTAGGTAGAGAGAAGGGGAGAGGACCCCGCCCTGCCAGCACGGAGCAGCCGCGCTGACTGACGGCTTAGGGTTAACACCTCCTAGGCGGCGGCAGAGCTTGGGCTAGCTGGTAAAGGCGGGGAGGGAGGAAGAAAGAGAGTGAGAGGGGTAGAGAGGGCCCGCCGTAAGGAGCATGTGCTAGGGAGTCCAGTAACCAGGGACAACCACAGCAACAGAGCTCCCTTGGAGGAGGAGGATAAGGAGGAGGAGAAGAAGGAGGAGGAGGAGGAAGAAGAAGAAGAGAGCGGCTCCGCAGCCCCGCGCCCCCGCGCCTCCGGGCCTCCTCCAGGAGCCAGCACACTGAGCAGAGCCCCGCTGGCGGGCGGCAGGATTTGGGAACTGTAGGTGGAGAGGGACTAAGTCTACCGCCCCCGGGCCTGTGGAGCCAGCTCCCCGCGGGCTGGGGATGTAAAAGCCTTTCCAGATCTCTGTTCCCGGCCTCAGTCGGAGTTCCTCCAGGAGCCCAGGGCGCGCAGTGCTCAGCGAGCTAGGACCTCCGTCCAGGACCGAGAGAACTGGAGACAAAGACACCCTAGAGCCCCCCGCCCCTGCCCCTGTCCTTGCCTCCGCCTGCCGGTTCCCTGCTCCGAGCCGGTGCAGGGCCGCCTAGGACGAGCCCCCGCGGCGGGACAGGGGAGAGCCGGCTGGGCCCGGAGCCGCTCCGGGGTTTATGCCCTAGTCGGTTCGGGCCCGGCGGGGGACGTGGCCGCAGAGGATGGGGAAATCCAACAGCAAGTTAAAGCCTGAAGTAGTAGAAGAACTGACCAGGAAGACCTACTGTGAGTATGGAGGGTCTTCCCTCCTCTTTCCCCAACTCCCTTTCTCCCGTTCCCACATCTCTTCCCCTCCCCGTCCCTTCCCCATTCCCCTATCTTTTCTTCTCCCTTCTCTGTCCGTCTTTCTTCCTTTCCCCCTTCTTTTCCCTTTTCTCCTCCTCCCTCCTCTTACCTCTTCTCTTCTCCCCCATTTTGCCCCCCTCCCCCATCTCGTCCTCCTTCCTTCTCGTCTCCTCCCATCCTTATCTGTTCCCCTCCCCACGCAGCTCTTTTCCATCCTCCCTTTTATCTTTCCCCTCATCCTTCCTCAGTTTCTTACCTGGTCTCCTCTTCACTTGAATCCCTGCCCTTATCAAGCTGATGTGATTTAGGAAATGAGCTGTAGGGGCATCTTTCTGTCCTGCTTGCAGCGTTCACACCTGGCCCCATTGTTCTGAAGTCCGATCCTGCCCCGCAGCTCTGACCAGGGTTGGGCCATGTGCTGTTGCTGTCAGATATATTTTTGTGCTTCATTCTATATGTCTTAGTTTTCCCCATCACGCTTCCCTCAACACTCCCCACACCTCAGGCCTGGGCATAGTATGTCCTAACAGGCCCTCTTTGCTATTGTAAAGTAGCTTCCTAAAAACTAGATTATTGGTGCTGCTGTGACAGCGTGAATTGCGGAGAGAAACGGGGTGGGGTGGGAGGAGGACTTTCTCACGTAGAGGGGTTCCTGGCAGCACCAAGCTGGTGACCCTGGCAAATAGGTGTTCAATTTTGGAGTAGCTTTAGAGGGTGGGTGATTCATGCATCACCATGTACAGGCAAGGTGAGCTGATTCCCACTACACCTTCCCCACCCTAGGAGTATGTGGAGGGGGGGAGGGGAGGGAAAGGAGGGAGCTCAGCCTGCTGAGTGGGAAGATTCCTTGTTGACTGGTGAATTTTCAGGGAGAATTCCTCATTAACTCGTCCCCTGCCTTATCCCTTAGCATTAAAAAATAAAAGTACGAAGAACTGGGAGAGGAGAGGGGAAGAACTTGTCAATTCCATCCTCCACTGTCAAGGTTTAATCTGCTTGTGTCTCTTCATACCTTCTTCATCCCTTGAATGACTTTCAAACTTTCCAGCCTCCCCGAATGAGTCCCCATTTCTGTCCCTCAATTCATACCCTTTCCATACCTTCCTACCCCTTATAGACATGATCTGCAGGCTAAATGTCTTGGCATTTGAAGGGTTAATGGCAATTTGGCATTGCATATTTCCAGCACTTTGTGCTTAGGGTTATCAATCTGCTTCCAAACGCTATGGATTCCATATAGGTCTCTTGGGCTGTTTCTTTTTTGTGTGAAGGCAAGATAACTGCCCTTATGCCAGTCCTCAAGCTCCAGGCTCCTCTGCACGAATGGCAGGAGTGGAACACCTGGGTGTCATTCTCACTCACCACTGCAGTGCTGCCTCCATCCACTCCCCTCCCCCCTCCCCCCCACAACCCAGAAGGCAAGAGATTAACATCCTTCAGGTTCAGCGAGGAGAGTCAGGCAGTCAGGCATCGTGGTGCATTGCACAACCCTAACTCTGTTCACTGCTCAATCAGACTGCTGGGCAGTATGGCACTGTGAGCCCATACCCAGCCTCCACCCCCATTCAGCGAAGCTGAGGTGCTCAGAGAACAAAGGGTCAGGTTCTAGCACCAGATTGCCTGTTGAACAGAGCTTACTCTAGCCATTTCTATGGTCCTTAGTCCCTAGAGCCTCCATTGGGTGAGATTATCCCAAAACTGAAATCCTAGTGTTTAGTTTGTTGATGGATAGAGGGAACAAAGGGCTAAGAGCTGTGTCCTTGGCTAATGTGTTACAGAGTAGGTGGGAGATTGAACTTCCTTTTAACATCTCCGATCTGCCCTTTTGGATAAAGGATGAGTGGTATGGTTGATGTAGGCCAAAGGCTTGTGACATATAGTAGTATATGAAAAAACCTCTTTTCAGCCTGGTGCTCTCTCTCAGCATCTCTGGAGAGCTTCAAACTCTGGTTGGTTGTGGAGCCTCCACTGGGGGATGACAATTCTGGCTGACTTTTCTAGATCCCTTCCCCCTTTAGGGGAAAATGGCTCCCATCAGCCAAAGACTGTTGGAATTCAGGTCATCCCTCTTGTAACCTGGGTACCTCTATTAAGTAGGCTTCTTTTAAAGTGCCCAGGGCAAAGAGCCCGATGATTCGGGAACTATGAGTTGGGCCCTATTCATTATGAAAAGTCCATGGAAATAATGTCCAGAACTCAAGAATCCATAGGATTATAATTGTTTAACTGGAAGGGCATTTAGGGGTTATCTAATTCTACCCTCTCATTTAAATAACAATAGCTTAGTATTTACCTAGTGCTTTGAGGTTTGCCCTGCACTTTTTATTCACCCCTTATCTCGTTGATTCTCAAAGTAAATTGAGGCCCTGAGAGGATTATGGCTTGCCCCTGCTCTTACCTTAGTAAGAGATGTAGTCTGGATTCAAATCTAGGTCCTCTGATCCCAAATCCATTGTTTTTTCCTCTACACCAGTCAGCTTCTTTCTTTCTTAATTTTTAGTTTAATTATTAGATGGCAGCTATTAGAACAGTTCTTTGTGAATAACATGGAGTTGTGGCAGGATGAGACTTGTATTGGGCTTCTTTTCCATTTTCCTGTCTTGGGGCAGAAGCTTACCTATCAAAATCTACCCATAAAGAAGTCAAGTCAACAGGTATTTGAGGAGAATCTACCGCATGTGCCCACCTCTCTGCTGGAAGAGATCCAATCCTATTTTTAAAGGCCTTCAGAGACATGGAACATTTTTGATCTGGGAGGATGCAAGATCATAAGGTTTAGAGTTAGAAGGGACCTTACAGAACAGGTAGTCCAATCCTCTTATTTTACATATTAGGAAAATGAGACCCAGAGTGGTTAGATGACTTGCCCAAGGTCACGGAGCTAGTAAATGGCAGAGTTGGTATTTAATCCTCAATTCCCCCCCACTATAATGTACCCTCAGTTTATATTCTCCTCCTTAGGCCAAGGAGAAGCTCTAGCTTTTTGTCCTATTAGGGAAGTTAGTTATATTTAGTGATATTGTCTCGCTGAGGGCTGCCCTTCAGATCTCAGGGATTCTGTGTCAGGGGTAAGAAATGGGGTCACTTTTGCTGCTTGTAGCTGGTGAGGGGTATTTACAAAGATGGGTTATGTCTTATTGCCATTACGATGTGTCTCTTACCATTTCACCCCACAGTATGTGATCCAGAAGGGAAAATCAAAGGTTTGCTCTGGGAACCCTCACAATAGCCTGCCATCTCTTTCAGCTGCTTCCCTGGCAAGACCTCAACACAGACTTTTAATCTAATTTAATTTTTAATGTTTTCTCGATGCCTTTTTAAAATGCAGTTGTCTCTGTAATAGACTATTGGACTTGGAATCAAGAAGACCTGATTCAAATTATCCCTATGACCCTTAGTAGTTGTATGACTATGGACAAGTCACATAATCTTTCTGGGTCTCATTTTCTTATCTGTAAAATGGGACTGTTAAGACCTTTAACATGCACCTTACAGCATTGTTATAATGTTTAAATGATTTTTTGTATGCATAAAGTGTTTCAAAAATCTTAAAACATTATAAAAGGTCAGTTAATACTATTCTTATTAATAGCATCCCCACAGAATCTGCTTTTGTAACAATAACAAAGAGAAATAACTAAGAAAAACCAAATGATACATCAGTAATGTTACGCAGTATGTGCAGTATTCTGTCGCCATAGAGGGGAATATGTGTCAGCATCAGTCCGACCGCGCCTCTTTTCCACTTTCGTCTTTTTAGAGATTCCTAACTTGATGGGCTGAGTAGAATTTGGAGGATTATGGGGTACAGTCAGGGAACTAGAGGGTAATTATGATCAGGCAAGAGTTTAGACAAGAGTTTCTTAATCTGGAGTCTGTTTCTTAACAGATCCTGAAGGGATCCATAGATAGATTTCAGGGGTGCCATGAATATGGATGGTGAAAAAAATTATATCTTAATTTCTACTAACCTCTACCTGAAATTTAGCATCTCCTATTATAAATGTAGGCAAGAAACCATTTTTTTTCTGAGAAAGGATCTGTATTCTTTACTAGTCTTGCAAAGGGGTCCATGACACAAAAAATTAAGAATCCCCTGGTTTAGATAAAAGTTCCAGCTGTGTGGTTCCTTTCCTCCTTTCCCACAGCTGAATTCAACATAGTACAATACTTACTGCATGAAACCTGTATGCCTGATGCTAGTTTTGAGGATACAGTCCTTTTTTTAAATCGGCCCATAATGACAACTCTGACCTCCCTGGCATAGCTGATGTTTAGGAGAAGCAGAAGACTAAAGAGCTGGTGAAGGGACACAGTCATATTTTCCATACCAAGCAATTTTCTGCCTTTCTTGAAGCTCAGTTTCTCTGAGGCTTGGCCTGATTTCTTGCCACTAATTGGCAAAACTGTTTGACTTGGAAAGAAATTTGGTAGAATTTGAAATTTGGTAGAAAGAGCACTGGATTTGGCACCAGAAGACCTGGGTTCAAGTCTCAGCTCTGCTACTTGGTATCTGGGATACTACTTGAGCTAGCCTTTTTCTCCTTCCTAGCCTTTGCATCTGCCTGTATCTGAAAATTCAGGGATTGGACTTCAGGGGTGGGGAACCTATGACCTAGAGGCCACAGGCTCCCCATCCCTGGTTATGCTTCAGCTTCCTTCAAGCTCTAAACTTTATCCCTGTACTATTAGGGAAACATTCTATCTTCTTAGGAAGGGCTCCTGCTAGTGGCCAAGTTACCTGAGGTACTGGGTGGGTGAGTCAGGTCTGGATAAGCATCTACAGGGAATCCTCTCTTCTATTTTTTTTTTAAAGGTAATTGGGGTTAAGTAACTTGCCCAGGGTCACACAGCTAGTAAGTGTCAAGTGTTTGGTCTGAGGCCGGATTTGATCTCAGGTCCTCCTGACTTCAGGGCCGGTGCTCTATCCACTGCACCAC